CAAAGAAAAGTGAGATGAGGACTGGGAAATTTCTGATGGAACCTCCACTCTAAAGAAGGATGTATAAAGAGGAGGAGTCCAAGAACACAAGCAGGTAAGGCAGACCAAGGGAAGCTGAAGTGAGAGGAAGCTGAAGAGCAGGTCAATGAAGGTGAGGACTGGAAGGAGCCCACCTTAGGTTGAGTTTCCCCGGCAATAGACCCTGATATAAAGATTTGGATGCAAGTAGTTCACATGGAAACTGACAGCAGGAAGCACCTGGAGCACAGTGGAGAAGTGAGAGAGGGAAGGGAAGGGAAAAGAAGGCAAGCCAACTAAGGGAACTTTGTGGACAGGTAAGCTCCTGTGGGTAATTGGAGCTTACTCCCTCTGAGACCTCTGGGAGGCACCTGAGGGGCAAGAAAGCTGGGATATTTATCCCTACATTTCCATCAGTTATGGGTGGAGGGATGATCACGGGAGCAACTCCCCAGCATTTCCAGGCTGCCCTGTGCCAACCCCAGCATGTTCCTGCAGCCAGAGACAGCCCTCATACAGCGAGCTGCAGGTGCTTACAGTGAGAAGCCAGTGAGGCGGTGTGCATGGGCCCTGGGAGTATCTAGGAGAATATAGGCAGAGCTCCAACGGGATCTGCTACAGGGACCTTGGGGTGGGTCTTGGAGATTAAATGAGAACAATGTCCTTTGGCCCAAATCTCAAGCTCAAGGGACTCCTGATTTTAGTTGAGGATCAAGAGGACCCTCAACTAAAGTGTTGATCTGGACTGAACTCTCTTTTCCCAAGACCAGATAAATCTAAGGGATGGAGGACATGTGTCAGGGGAAGGAGCCACAAATCTAGAAGCTGCCTGAGCCCTTGTGAAATTCTTGAAAGGGCTGCTAATCTCCCAGACCCTATTACCTATTTTTCTCTTTTGGGCTTTGTCATTTTAGCAGGGATCTCAGCTGGAGCAAATGCCTTATCCCGAGGGCTGAGTGGAGGACACAGCGCTAACTTACCCACCACATTCTCACCAACCAAGGCTCTCACTCACCTGTGGTGAAGGGAACCTGCCCCTTGGCAAGCACCTTATGGGACACTCTGCTCTGTCCCCCAGTGAAGGAAGACCAAGGTGACACGTGATCTGGGTCTTGAAGAATGAGTAGGATTCTAGAGGCAGATGATGTAGGGCAGACCATCTCAGGCTGTGTCAGCAACATTACTAAAAGGCCACAGCATGCCCTATGTCCAGTGATCCTATCAGTGGGCTGGCAGAATCTGGAGACCCTGTGCTAAATTCTTTGCCTCTGGCCTGAATCTGATGCTTGTCTCCTTGGCTACATGATATCTCTTCCTTTTCCCTGGCAGTTGGCCCAAGGAACCCTGAGCCAGGCTGAGCACAAGGCTTTGGTCAGCCACCATGAGTCACAGCTCAACAGCTCAATAGCTCAATTTGATGCTGGTCCCCGTCACATCATCCTGGCCATGCCAGGCTGACTGGGTGGCACATGGTTTCCTTGGAACAGTTTTCTGATGGCTCCATTAACTTGGGTCCTGCCATGCAGACTCCCTCAGGAACAAAAGTGTGTGCATCACCTGATCACCTAAATCTGTGTATGTTAGGACAGAGACCAACGTGCGAGTGGCTTAAACAAAATAGAAATTGTATTTCCTTCTTACATAAAAATCAGAGCTGGGAAGAGGACCTGGTCCATGCTGTGAATCACCTGGGGATTTTGTTAAAATGCACGTTCCTGAATCACTAGGTCTCAGTGGGGTTGGAGAGTCTGCCTTTCTAACAAGTTCCCCAGTGATGCCGAGGCTGCTGGGCTGCAAAGCACACTTGGAGTTCCAAGGCCCTGAAGCGCCAATTCTCGACTTTGCTTTCTAATAGAATCGTGTGGGGAGATTCTAAGGCTCCCCATGTCCAGGCCTCACCCCATATGATGAAATCAGAATCTCAGGGTGGGACCTGGGCATCAGTACTTTTTAAAGCTCCCCACACAGCAGTCACTGGTTTATAGCAATGTTCAAATCGTGCTGGGCAGGAACTTATGGATTCTCTGTCTTGGCAGTGGAGTAATTTCTCAGAGCTCTCTGCTTCTCCTTTCTGGGGAGAGCTCCCTTGTCCATTCTTCTCATCGGCTCTTGACATTTCCCTTTGAGTGGTCCCTCTTATCCATTATCCTCCTGAGTATCTTGGAGGGTATCCCCTGTTCAGGGTTGCACAGCTTTCACACCCAGCTTCCTCTTGGTGCAGGTTTGGGATCCTAGGGTTATGTCAGGGGCCAAATACATACAGAATTTTGGAGTCCAGGCTTGTGTTTTCTTGGCAATATGATCCTCTCAAATGTGATCTTATTTGGAAATAGGGTTGTTGCAGATATACAGATGTAATTAGTAAGGATGAGGTCATACTGAAATAGGGTGGGTCCTTAATCCAATATGACTGGTGTCCTTATAAGAAAAGAGATACAGAGGGACACACACACAGGGAGAATGCCGCTTGACAATGGAGGCAGAGAATGGAGTGATGTGTCTAAAAGCCAAGGATTGCTGGCAACACCAGAAGCTAAGAGAAAGGCAGGGAACAGATTCTCCCCGAGAGCCTTCAGAGAGAGCATGGAATTGCTGACCCTTGATTTTTGACTTCTAGCATCTAGGACTATGAGAAGATAAATTTCTGTTGTTTTCAGCCATTCTAGTTTGTGGTACTTTGCTATGGCAGAACTAGGAAACAGATACAGTGGGCTTCTGATCTATTTTCTTCTAGTAATTTCCATGGGCAAATAATCACAGCCATAGAATTTGTCTGGTACTACATTATCCAACAGAATAGCTAATAGCCACATATGGTTATTTAAATGAAGGATAAATTAAAATTAAATAAAACTAAAAATTCAGTTCCTCATTTGCACTACTTACATTTCAAGTGCTCAGTGGCCACATGTGGTTAGTGGCTACTGCATAAGATATTGCAGATTGTAGAAAATTTCTATCAAGGCAGAAAACACCACGGGACAGCATTTTTCTAGTCTATTAGTGAGTTTTCTCCTGCAATAATGCTGCACAGCAACTGCAGCATTTCAGTGGATTACAAGAACAAACACTTTTCTTGCTCACAGGTCGGTGGGGCAGTTCAGCTGTAGGTTGCAGGTCAGATGGACTTGGCTCCGGGCCACAGTTTGGGTTTGGGTTTGCTCCATGTGTCCTCTCATCCTCTTTAGACTCGGGGCATGTTCTTCTCATGACTAACAGCAGGAGTGCAAGAGGGTCGTCTAAACCACAAAGCACATTTAAAGCCTCGGCTCAGATCACATTTGGTTAATTGTCCATTGGCTAAAAGCAAATCACATGACCAAGTCCAATATCTCTGTCTACAGTGAGAGGGCCTACAAAGTAACACAGAAGATGGTCTGGATGTATAATCCTATAACAAAGGAGTGAAGAACTGACAACAATAATCCAATCTACCTCACCTATACATAGAGCTTATTTTTTCCTCAAAAGATAATACATTCACATGGTTGAAAAAACAAAAGTATGAAAAGGCATGCAGTGAAAATATCTCCGACATCTGACCCACCCACTTCATCCCCTCTCTTTACAGGTAAACCGTTATATTAGTGTCTTGTCTATCTGCATGAAAATACAAGCAAAAACATATATTCGTCCCCTCCCACTTTCTTAAAGGGAGTTCATTATACACTGTAATGCCTTCACTTACATCTTTTAAAAATATATCTTGGGAGATTTTTCCATGTTAATACACATAGATATAGTTCTTAAACTTACATTCACTAATATTTACTGGTGTCTGCATTCTTTGTCCCTGCTTTCTTAGCTTAATGATGGCTACCTTCCGATGTCTGAGACAACGGGCTTGTGTTGGAAGGCAACACTTTTAATCTGATTTTACCACTAGGGGGGCTCCCAGTCTGGCCTGGAAGTGTTCACAGAAGTTCCTAAAGGTTTGGGGTCTCATCTCTTGCTAAGGATGTTTATTTAGAGCTACCTTTTATAATTAATTTGCTTTTATCTTTCAAAGTGTTCCAGAGCTGGGCGGGTAGAGTCAAGGCAGCTGCTCTAATTCTTGTTATCCCCTTAGTTGGGGGAAAGGGGGAAATGGGCAGAGGAGAGCGTGCCCAATCCTTTTAGAGCTAAAACTGGGAGAGAGGGTGCCACATCACCTCCATTCCTATCCCCATTGGCCAGAACTTAGTCACATGATCACATCAAGCTAGAAGACCATACGTGGGAGTTATACCACTAAAAGGAAGAAAGAATATACATATTGAGGAACAATTAGCAGTCCTTTTCTTGGCGTTTGAAGTCTCAGTGAGAGGGCACAGTCTGCGGGAGTTAATAAACATATATCTTTTAAACTTTATATTGTATTATAAAATATAACATGCATACAAAAAAGTGCACAAATCATAAGCAGACAGCTTGATGAATTTTCACAAAGTCAGCACGCCTGCATAGCGAGCTCCCTGGTCAATAAATTGAGCACTGTTAGCACCCCAGAGTTTGCTTGACAGCAAGGGTAAGAGCGACGTACCCACGTGGAGGCGGAGCCAAGGGCGGCTGAAGGTGAGTTAGCCGGAAATAGGGCGTGGCCAGGCGAGAAGGCGGGGCTCCGCCGAGCACAGTGCCCGTCTCTAGAGCCCAGGGAGGGGTGGGGCTTGAGGGTACTACGCATTCAGGGCGGGGCTTAATCGCCCGGCGTCCCGGCTGGAGAGAAGGGGCGTGGTCAGATCAGGTGTTGAGGGCCAGGTTAAGCAGGGGAAAGACTTCGCGGCCAAGATAGCCAGGGCCTAGCGGTCCCCAAGGCGGCCTGGGCCACGAGGGGCGAGTCAGGTGGATTGGCTGGCGGTACTTAGCGAGGGGAGGAGGCTTGGAGCGCCCCCCTGGAACGCGTCGGGGCGGGGCTTCTTGCCGTCTGGGCGGGCGCCGCGGCGAGGGGCGGGGCATCTTGCCGTCTGGGCGGACGCTGCGGCGAAGGGCGGGGCTTCTTGCCGTCTGGGCGGACGCTGCGGCGAGGGGCGGGGCCAGCGCGCGCGCTCCAAAATGGCGGCGGCCAGTGTGGCCGGGCCGGCAGCTAACGTGTTCCCGTTCCGCGACTTCCGCGCCGCGCCGGATCCGGTGCTGGAGGCGGGCCCTGTGGCACACGGACCACTGCCGGTGCCGCTGGTGCTGGACAATGGGTCGTTCCAGGCCCGTGCCGGCTGGGCGTGCCCCGGGCCAGACCCGGGCCCCGAGCCGCGCCTGCAGTTTCGCGCCGTGTGCGCCCGCGGGCGGGGCGGGGCTCGCGGAGGGGCGGGCCCGCAGGTGGGCAACGCGCTGGGCAGCCTGGAGCCGCTGCGCTGGATGCTGCGCTCGCCCTTCGACCGCAACGTGCCGGTCAACCTGGAGCTGCAGGAGCTGCTGCTTGACTACAGTTTCCAGCACCTGGGTGTCTCCTCGCAGGTGAAGGGCGGGTGGGTTGGGCGGGAGGGGAGGGGTCAGGTCGTGTCTCCGCTCACTCCGCTCTCCAAGGGAGAATAGTCAATCCGGGAGCTCTGATTGTTTAGTCATTCATTCATTCAGTCGATCAAATATTTAGTGCCTAACGTGTGTAAGCCCTGTGCTAGGGGCTTAGGGTATAGCAGCGAACAAAACAACGCCCCTTTTGTCTTGGAGCACACATTCGGACATATTGTGCGTGTTTGTTAATAATTTCACTTATTGACAAATGTGTATTGAGCACCTACTCCGTGTCAGGCACTTTTCTAGGCATTTGGAATACATTCGTGAATGTGACACAAAATTTCCTCTACTTATGGGGCTGGCCCCGTGGCCAAGTGGTTACGTTCACGCACACTGCATGGGCCGCCCGGGTTGGGGGGTTCAGATCCCTGGCACAGACCTACCTGCACGCTCATCAAGCCATGCTGTGGCAGCATCCCGCATACAAAATAGAGAAAGATGGGCACAGATGTTAGCTCAGCGACAATCTTCCTCACCAAAGAAGTAAATCTTTTCCTGTACTTATGGAGCTGGTATGGAAACACATTCTAGTATGAAAAGGCAGACAATAAACAATAGAATTACGTAGTAGATTCTATGTCATGATAGAAGGAGAGGAGAGGGTTACATTTTTTTGTAAGATGATCAGGGTAGGACTTTGGGAGAAGATGATGTATGAGCAAGAACAAAGGAGATGACTGAGGGAGCAAGGCATATGACTGACTGAGGGAATAGTATTCCAGAGAGAGGGAACAGCCAGTGAAAAGGCCCTGAGGCAGGAGTGTGCCCTAATCTTAATTGAGGGCTGCCAGAGTGAGGGGAAGAGTGGTGAGTGGAAGAGGAAGTCAGAGAGGTAGTGAGGGGGCAAGTCACATGCCTCACGGCTTTTACTCTGAGCGAAATGGGGAGCCATTGCAGGGTGTTGAACAGAGAAGGGATGTAACATGTTTCAGAAGGATCGCCATAGCTGCTGAATGGAGAACAGACTGGTGTGTGTCACAGGGTAGCAATAGGGAGACTAGTTAGGAGGCTCTTGCTGTTAGGTGAGGGGTGACAGTGACTTAGGTGAGGTGGGGATGGGAGCATGTGGTAAGAGGCAGGCAGATTCTGGAGATGTTCGAAGATGGAGCCAGTGTGATATGCTGACACTTTGTATGGGCTTGACTTCATAGCCTTCGATCGACCCACTTTCGTATTTTCCAGAACAACTTCCAGTAGATGAGCTGAATGTTTTAGGGTTGTTTCTGATCAGCTTTTTGATTGGAGACCAAAAGCGAATTCAGCCTTTGCAGTAAGGATTTTGGTTTCTTTTATGCTTTAAAAAGAGTATTCTTTTATCACCACCCATTTACTCTTTTCTTTCAAAGTAGGGCTGTGTTGATCATCCCATAGTTTTGACAGAAGCCGTGTGCAACCCCCTGTATTCCCGACAAATGATGTCCGAGCTTCTTTTTGAGTGCTACGGGATTCCTAAGGTTGCCTACGGAATAGACAGCCTCTTCAGCTTCTACCACAATAAGCCAAAGAACTTGACTTCCAGTGGCCTCATCATTTCATCTGGGTACCAGTGTACACACATTTTACCCATCTTAGAAGGGAGGTGAGTTTCACTTACGGTGTTTGAGTGCTGTTTTGAGAAGCATTCAGGAAACATTTATTGGGTGCTTGCTTTAGATGTGGAGTGGAAGGAGCAAGGACTGGACCACGCAGTGGCCTCTGGGCTGAGCTCTGACCCACCTTACTGTGTGACTCTGGCAGGTCACTTCACCTTCTATCCTTTGTAACCTCCTGGACTGAGTTGGGGTAGATGGTCTCTGAGGTCCAGATCCATAATTCTAGAATTCTATGCTTCTGATTTATGGTAAGATAGCTAATACTACCTGCTGGTGGTAGGTGCTCAATAAAAATGTTTTGAGTAAATTATTTGATTAAGTTTAATTTAGATCATCTTTGTGTTCTGAAGTCACTTTTTAAAAAAACATTATTTTATTGAAGAGATAATGACTTACAACATTGTGCAAATGTCAGGTGTACATTATTCTATTTCACTTTCTGTATAGACTGCATCATGTTCACTGCCAATAGTCTAGTTTCTATCTGTCACCATACACATGTGCCTCTTTACTCCTTTCACCCTCCCCCAACCCCTTCTCTACTGGTAACCACCGATCTGTTCTCCTTATTTATGTGTGTGTTTATCTTCCACATATGAGTAAAATCATATCGTGTTTGTCTTTCTCTGTCTGACTTCATTTAGCATAATACCCTCAAGGTTCTGGAGTCACTTTTTTATTAAGAGATTATTTTTTTATTTAAAGCTCTTTAATCATGATCATTTAGACCTTTCTTTTCAGATAAAAGTGCTTGGCACATAATAGGTAGTTATTAAATATTTCTGAGTTGAATGTAAAGTGAAGGTAATTTCTGTCGTGTTTAAAATCTGTTCTGATTTTATAGTTGGGCTTTTGTTGTCTCATAAGAGACTAGGCCAGGGGCTGGCCCTATGGCGCAGCGGTTAAGTTCGCACGTTCTGCTTCTGTGGCCTGGGGTTCGCCAGTTCAGATCCCAGGTGCGGACATGGCACCACTTGGCAAGCCATGCTGTGGTAGGCATCCCACATATAAAATAGAGGAAGATGGGCACCGATGTTAGCTCAGGGCCAGGCTTCCTCAGGAAAAAGAGGAGGATTGGCAGCAGTTAGCTCAGGGCTAATCTTCCTCAAAAAAGAAAAAAGAAAGACTAGGCCAGCACTGTGCTCTCCTGAGAAGCTTTCTCACTGCGTAAGGAGGGTGTGTAAGTAGGGAAAGGAGCCCCGGTTTTGGAGTTGAGTGCCTGGGTTTGCGGCCCTGCTAAGGATGAGGTACTTAACCTCTTCACTTAGTTTCCTAACATGTAAAATTGACAAGAAGCGATTTCTCAGGGTTACCCTGAGGATGAAATGAGACAATGTGGGTGATGGCACTTTTTAAACTGTAAAGCAGTCTGAGTGTTTAAGTCAAAATAAATGACATTGAATTTATTGAGACCCATAGTGGTAATTTCTCTTGAAGTTTCTACAAAAATTTATGAAGAAAAAATTAATTCTTAGACATTACCAGACACTCCTGATGTGCAGTTTTCTGTTTTATGTAAATAGAATATGCAGAAATTAAAAATAACATTATGTCTGGGGCTGGCCTGGTGGCATAGTGGTTAGGTTCGTGTGCTCCGCTTTGGTGGCCCAGGGTTTGCAGGTTTGGATCCAGATGTGGACCTGCACACTGCTTATCAAGCCATGCTGTAGCAGCATCCCACATACAAAATAGAGGAAGATTGGCATGGATGTTAGCTCAGCAACAGTCTTCCTCAAGCAAAAAGAGGAAGTTGGCAACAGATGTTAGCTCAGGGCCAATCTTCCTCACCAAAAAAAAAGAATAATAATAACATTATGTTATTTTTATATTATATTGAGAGGAAATTATTTTACATGAAAGCTAAGAAATGATCAGATAGGAGCATATCCTGTTCTGTGCTGGCATCTGCTGGTGAGGTGTGATATAGCAGTGATATTTCAATATACACAGCAAGTTCCTAATTCTTTGCTAACTTTCTTACATTAAGATGTAAGGTTACATTGGTTTTCTTCCCCTTCAGTGCATGTGAAAGGGACCTGCTACTCTTAGATTACAGCAAGCCACTATGTGTGTGGTTACTTAGTGTGTTTGTGTCAGTAGAAGTCGAGTGTCTAGGAGTGAGGTTCTCAAAATCTGGCCTACACTAGAGTTTCCTGGAAAGCTTGTTAAAATGAAGATTTCCAGGCCCACCCCAGAGCAAATGAGTCCTGGGAATTAGCATGTTTAACAACTCCCCCAGCTAATTCTAGAATTCTTGGTCCCAGGACTACAGTTTGAGAAATGCATGGTGAGTCACATAAGGGTCTGACTTCAGAGTGCATGTTCTTCCCATTGAACATTGTTTCCTTCTGAGACTCTCGTTAGAAATTAGATCGCCATGTGTCTGTCTGGATGTGGACTAGGAATTCCTGCACTGGGTAAGAGATGGGACCAGGGGACTTGAAAGTCCCTTCCTGCTGTAAGGTTTTATGTTCCCCTAGCTGGTCTGTTTCTTCCTTGTTCATCTACATTAAATTATCCTTTATCCCCCCAAGATGCTCCATAGTCTCTTCTCCATGTTGCCAAAAATTTCAATGCTGTTTTCCATTCCTTGGTTGTAGGTTAGATGCTAAAAACTGCAAACGCATCAATCTGGGAGGAAGCCAAGCAGCTGGCTACCTCCAGCGTCTCCTCCAGCTGAAGTATCCTGGGCACCTGGCAGCCATCACTCTCAGCCGCATGGAGGAGATCCTGCATGAGCACAGCTACATAGCTGAGGATTACGTGGAAGGTAATGAAGAGGATGTTTGCTTGCAGCTTTTGGATGTTGTCTTCCTTTGGGGTAGTCTTTAAATTGTTCCCAGGATGACTCTTTTGCTCAATTTTTTACTGTTAATTACTTTTTAGCATCCCCTTCCCCTTTTGATATATACTTTCTTAGCAAACTATTCAATAAACTGATAAATTACATGTGTAGGTTCTTTTTCCAAATTGTTTTGGCTGTTCTGATTCCTTGTCCTTTCAGTATAAATGTTAGGATCAGCTTGTCCATATCTTACAAAAAAGTTCTCTTGGGATTTCGATTGAAAGTACGTTAAATCTATAGATAAGATTGGCTATAAAACAATATTCTAAATATAAATCCAGATATAATACTAAATCTAGATTGGGGAGAACTGACATTTTTTGCTATGTTAAGTGTTCCAATCCATGAACATAGTGTGTCTTTCCATTTATCTAGGTCTTTATTGATTTCTTTCATCAGCATTTTGTAGTTTTCAGCATATAGATTTAATACATGTTCTGTTAGACTTATGCCTAAGTATTTCTTTCTTTGTTTTTTTCATTTCGGTTTCCACTTACTCATTGCTGGTGTATAGAAATGCAATCAATTTTTACATATTGATCTTGTATCCTGTGACCTTGCTAAACTTATTAGTTCTAGTTTTTTTAGATTCCTTGGGAACTTCTGTGTAGGCATAGAGACAGTTTTATTTCTTCCTTTCCAATCTGTTTGCCTTCTATTTCTTTTTCTTGCCTTATTTCACTGGCTCAGACTTCCAGTACAGTGTTGAATAGAGTGGTAAGAGTGAGCATCCTTGCTTTGTTCCCAGTTCCTGATCTTGGGGTGGTGGGGGGAAGCATTTAATCTTACACTATTAAGTATATGATGTTAGCTGGAGGTTTTTGCAGCTGCCCTTTATCAAGTTGAGGAAATTCCCTTCTGTTCCTGGTTTTGCTGAGCATTTTTATTGTGAGTGTATTTTGAATTTTGTGAAATGCTTTTTCTTCAATTGATGTGATCCTACAGTGTTTCTGTGTTGGACTGTTCATATGGGAGATTATAATGATTACTTTGTGAATAGTGAGCTAGCCTTGATTTTTGGGTGGTAAACCCTACTTGTTCATGTGTACGTTTTTTTATATGTTGTTGGATTCAATTTGGTAATATTTTATGGGGTTTTTTGATCTATATTCATGAGGGATATTATCTGTAGTTTTCTTGTATTGTCTGTCTGCTTTTGGTATCAGGGTGATAGTGGTCTTGTTAATTGAGCTGGAAAGTGTTCCCTCTTCTTGAACCTTCTGGAAGAGATTGTGTAAATAATTGATATTATTTTCTTAAATGTTTGATCTAGTGGACCCATTTGAACCTGGGGATTTCTTTTTCTGAAAGCTTTTAACTATGAATTTAGTTTCTTTAATAGACAGGTAATCTCATTGTTTTCTTCTTTTTATTATTTCCTTCCTTCTACTTTAGGTTTATTTTCCTCTTGTTTTCTAGTTTCTTAAGATAGAAGCTTAGACTATTATGAGACCATTCTTATTTTTTTAATTTTTTTTTTTTAAAGATTTTATTTTTTCCTTTTTCTCCCCAAAGGCCCCGGGTACATAGTTGTATATTCTTCGTTGTGGGTTCTTCTAGTTGTGGTGTGTGGGACGCTGCCTCAGTGTGGTTTGATGAGCAGTGCCATGTCCGTGCCCAGGATTCGAACCAACTAAACACTGGGCCGCCTGCAGCGGAGCACGCGAACTTAACCACTCGGCCACGGGGCCAGCCCCGACCATTCTTATTTTTAATATAAGCATTTAATGCTGTGACATCTACATTCCACAGGTTTTGGTGTTATATTTTCATTTTTATTGAGTTCAAATATTTTATGATTTCCCTCAAGACTTCTTTTTTGAGACATTGATTATTTAGAAATGTGTTGTTTTCCCCTTTTTTGTTTTGTTTTTTGGTGCGGGAGGAGATTCTGAGGAAGATTGTCCCTGAGCTAACATCTGTGCCAATGTTCCTCTATTTTATATGTGGGTTGCTGCCACAGCATGGCTGGCAAGTGGTGTAGGTCCATGCCTGGGAACCAAACCTGGGCCATTGAAACCAAGCATGCTGAACTTAACCACTAGGCCAAGGGCCAACCCAAGAAATGTGTGGTTTTATATTCAAGTGTTTGGAGATTTTCCTGTTATCTTTCTGTGACTTATTTCTAGTTTAGTTCCATTATGGTCAAAGAACTTCCTTTGTCTGATATCAGTTAAACTTGTGAAGGTTTGTTTTATGACCCCGGTTTAGTCTGCTTTGGCGAATGTTCCATATACACTTGAAAAGAATGTGTGCTCCGCTGTTGTTGGGCGGAGCGTTCTGTGATGTCACTTAGGCCCCTTTGGCTGATGGTGGTGCTCAGCTCTATGCCCTGTTCATTCTACGTCCGCTAGCTCTGCTGATTATGAACAGTGTTGAAGTCTTGAGGGATAATTGCGAATTTTCCTATTTCTCCTTTCATTTCTGTCAGTTTTCGCTTTCAAGTATTTGAAGCTCTTTTGTTAGGTACGTATTTAGGCATCTTATGTCTTCTTGGCAAACTGACCTTTTGTCATTCTCTAGCGTCCCTTTTCATCTTGTGCAGTTTGCTTTGAAGTCTGCATGGACATTAATGAAGCCTCTCACCCTTGATTGGTGCTTGCGTGGTAGGTCTTTCCAGCCTTTCATTTTTAATCTACCTCTATCATTGTATTCAAAGGGAATTTCTTAATAGTTGGGGCTTTGGACTTTTTTTTTTAATTCATTCTGTCAGTCTCTGTCTTTTAATTGGTATGTTAAGACCATTTAAAATTAATTTAATTAGTCATATGTTTGGCTTTAGGGCCGCCATTTTGTTATTTGTTCTCTCTTGTTCCTTCTCTTTGTTGTTGCTGTTTCCCTCTCGCCCTCTTTTGGGTTATTTGAACATTTAAAATTTCCCTTTGGTGTTCCATGTTAATTTATCTGTTGTTTTCTCCTGTCCCTCTCTGTGTGATGGTGTTAGTGGTTGCTCCAGAGATTCCAGTACACAGACCTTCACGGTCTCCCTAGAAGTCTGCTGCAGTCTGCTGCTCGCTCTTTTACTTTCTCCTGCGCAAGTGGAGTGTGGGGATCTTCGCGTTCCGGAGGCTCCCTTATCCTTCCTCCTTTATGTTGGAGTTGTCTTAGGGATCACATCTACTTACGTTGGAAACCCATCAGACATTGTTATGGTTTTTACTTTCAATTGTCAAACATTTTAAAGAACTTAAGAGGAGGTTGGTCTATTACGTTTAACCAGATTTCCATCATTTCTGTTGCTCTTCCTTCATTCCCGACGTTCCAGATTTCCTTCTGGTGTGTTTCTGTCTGAAGCTCTTTATTTAGTAGTTCTTTCAGAAGAGGTCTGTGGCTTGGTGTCCAGGTTTTATAGCTGCATTTCGTTGACTGGGTGATTGATCAGAGACCGGGTGGAGTGTGCGTTCTCCATCTACCCAGATCTGGAACCCTGCTATTGACCATCTAATTTCTGTGCTCATGGGGTTTCCGTTTCATAACTTCCAAAATTATTTCTTGGAAGAACTGCAGAAATGGCGGTGCCCTGATTATTATGAAAACAACGTCCACAAGATGCAGCTCCCATTTTCCAGCAAGCTCCTCGGCAGCACTCTGACCTCCGAGGAGAAGCAGGAGAGGCGGCAGCAGCAACTGCGGCGGCTGCAGGAGCTCAACGCCCGTCGGCGCGAGGAGAAGCTGCAGCTCGATCAGGAGCGGCTGGACAGACTGCTCTATGTGCAGGTCAGAGCAGGTCCCGGGATGGGGCCCCAGCCTGACTCAACAGGGCAGTCCCAGAAAAGTTTCTTCCTGTATGTTCTTCCTCAACCGTGAGATGCATTGACCGTCTAGGTCACCCTTGGGGTCAAGAAGGAGTCTGGGGGGATCATCAGTATTGAGAATGGTATAACAGCAGGTATTTCTGCAAGAGCTGTGGGCTCTGGCTTTATTGATTTGTTTTGGCCTTATAGTCTCCTTTATTTTATTTTTAACTTCCTAACTTAAGTGCTGCAAAGTGCACAAATCTTAAGTGTGTAGCTTGATGGATTTTCACAACGTGAAACCCGCTGTGTATCCGCCATCCAGATCAAGAAATAGAGCATCCCCAGCATCCCCAGAGCCGCCCTCAGTCTCCTCTTAGTGACTTTCACATCTCTTCCTCCGAAAGGTGACAACGTTTCTGAAGTCTGTCACCATAGATTAGTGTTGCCTGATCAGGTGGTGCAGAAACCATGGTACGATGGCAGCCTAGAGACGGCAGGGGAGCAGGCCGGCGGTGCGTAACTGGTGGAGGTGTGATTTTGTGGAGGGGCAGGCTAGGGAGCTGTGTAGTTTTTCTCTGTTAGACTTAGCTACTTCTCTCTCCTTCCTGTTTGCGATTGCACTGATGCCTTTGGGGATGAATTCTGACTGCTCTGGTTTCAGGAACTTCTAGAGGATGGCCAGATGGATCAGTTTCACAAAGCTCTCATAGAGCTGAACATGGACTCCCCGGAGGAGCTGCAGTCCTACATCCAAAAGCTCAGCTCTGCAGTGGAGCAAGCGAAGCAGAAGATCCTTCAAGCAGAAGTCAACCTGGAGGTGGATGTGGTGGACAGCAAACCAGAGGTACTGAGGGCCTTGGAGGGAGGTCCCATGTGGTCATTTAGAGTGCACAGCCGTTCCTGAGGGCGAGAGGAGTGTTTTGAGAGGGCTGACATCAAAGGGGCTGTGACCAGGCTCGGGGAAGAGAGCAGTGTGGTGGGTGATGTCCATGGGCACGGGGGCAGGGACAGTGATAGCACTGACCTTGTGCCAACTGAAGTTCTCACCTGAGGGATTTCACCCTGTGGACCCCTGGCCCCCCAGGAGGGGGAAGTGTGCGTGTAGAGTAGGAAGAACATATACACAGCAATCATGTGGCCCCATCTTGAACCTAAACTTGCCCCTCTGATGGTTGTTTGGCAGTTAGTCATACACTCTCTTTAACTTTCTTCTGATGTTTTATTAAAAATGTTGTTACTTCCTTTCCATCTTGATGTTCCCTAAGGACAGGGATCGTGCTTCATACATAGTTGATGATTTTTTTACAGCAACTAGTAGACATGCTCATTAACGTATTTGTAGGTTGATTTAAGGTCAGCCTTTTGTTAGTTACTAAAACTAACTCTTGAATAAGCTCTTTGATCTCCTCTCTCTCTCCTTTTTATTTCCCTGCCAGTGGACTGTTAAGAAGTGTTGATGTGGCCAAAAGGGCAGGTGGCAGGGCTGAGAAAGGGCCATGGGTACTCCCCACCCTTGCCCTGGGCCCTGCATGGTGAAGGAGCTGTCTGCGGGTCATGCTTTGGCCAGAAGTCACTGGGTTGGCTCTCCCATCTTTAGCACTGGAAAAAAGCGTTAATTAGTATACGCATTGTTCCTGAATTTGTCATCTCTAGAGTTCTAAAACAAAGGAGCTTGGTCATTGCCTTGGGACACTTCTAGGGCAGGATTAACTCATCAGCTTATTGGTTTTTTGTTTTCAAGTCAACTTTCTTTAAATTCTAAAACCTCTACTTGTAGAAAGAAGCAGTTGTGTGGGACAATCCAGTGTGGTGCTTGCCAGTGCCTTCAGAGCTCTCCTTGGCTCAGCAGGAAGCCTGCTTCTGCAGTGACCATCTCTCAGCTGGAGGCCCGCTCTCCAGTTCCAGCTCGGCCTTGCTTTCTCCACCTCTCTCTGACGGGCTGTAGACTGCACGTGAAAAGCAGCGGGCCATGCGCGTGCATGTTTGACAGAGCAGATCCTGAGTCAGGCTTCCTAGATACAGCGTGCTGGATCACTGAGATCTTGGGTAGAAGGCGCCTTTTCTCCCATCTTCCTCTCCTACAGCATCCCAGATCAACTTCAGTAGAACTCGTGTGCCTTTTCTAGTTTGCTTCTCCCAGTTTTCAGGTCTGTGTTTCAGCTTTGAGCTGTTTAGTGGGATCCAGATCCATATCATCTTTGCTGTTTATTCATCCATATTTAGTTTTTATCATGCTTAACATGTCTGTCAACAGGACATCAGCATCTTTATCCCAGACGTGTGTGACAAGCCACAAGCACGGGAGGGATTTCAGATTTAAAAAGAAAAAACCAAACGACTGTGAAATATGATTCCTGAGCAGTTGGGGAACTAGTTTTCCTTTTTTGTTCATTTTTCTCCATTTATTACATGCCGTGATTCAGCCACTCCTCCATTCAGCAGATGCTTATTAAGCTCCTACTTTGTTCTGTGCTCTGAGGATACTGTTCACATCTCTCTGGGCTCTGGGGGATTTTGAAATGTTGGACTTGAAAAGATTTCTCTACATACAACAAATGTGATGAAATGATCTGTCCCCAGAGTTCTGAGGGTCAGTCAGCATTTGCTGAATGTGATAGTGGTTAAAGTCAATTACGGTAACGTTCATGGCATAAATTTGACCACGGCGTTGGCTGGCCAGTTCTACCTTTCAGGACGTGTTTGTAGTATTTTCCAACAATATAATCCATTCAGAGTGGAAAGAATAGATTTATGCGGACTAATATTCAAATTGAAATGCCATCCAGGCAGTAATTGCTGAAGTGAATTAATCCAGCGAAATTTTTATCTTAGAGTGTTTTCTAAAATCCATTTTTCCTACAGACCAGTCCATTTCAGCCCTGGCTGTGCTGCAGGTGTTGCGATGAGGATGTGGTAAGGGAGTAGGCTTTGTCGGCATTCCTAATGGAGTACTGGAACTGGAAGATGCTGCCTTTCCATCGCTACAAGCGTGGCATGGCGGGGGAGGAGGAGGACACAGTTTTGGAGCAGCGTCATTTGTTGTAAAACACCATGAGCCAAACATAGAAAGTCCCCTTGCCTGACTAGCCAAGATGGGAGCCGGCCTCTGCTTGTGCTTATGCTGCTCAAGACTGTTCCAGGGAACCATGCTGCGTCTTCTCTGATGTGCTTTGGCAAACCGTTGTTCTGTTCGGTTCCAAAAGAACAGTCATATTTGTGTTCCTGAGTGCTGCGCAATACACATGGAGACCCTGGCGAACCCTGGAGGGCGAGAAGCCAGCCGGGGTAGAGAAATATGTTCTCTGCCGATGCCCCTTGTCTGCGTTATAATTACTAACTTACTTTCTCTCTGTGAATCATATGAATTGGGATAAGTAAAATATCTTTTTATCATTTTTAGTGAAGCTAAGAAGGTATCTTATTTTTAAGGTGACATGCTTTTCAGTATAGCAAGATGAAGGTGAAAGATGTTATTTTTGTTGCAGCTAAAGAAGTCTTTTGAAAACCAAACATTTTAGAAGCTTCTCTATTCCACGGAAGTTTGAGGGGCTGTCCCAGGGGCCCAGCGCTCGGTGCTAGGCGTGGGATGCCGGGGACTAGCGGTACAGAGGCGGTTGGGATACAGTGCCTGCCCTCCTCAGGACCTCCAAAAAACAGAGCTATGGAACCATACTGACCTGACGGCAGTAAAGCTTATCAGGTGTGGGGGCGGCTGTGGGGGTGGGGTGGGGGGCGGCAGACTGCAGGTGGAGTTTTGAGAAAGGATTGGGATATTTGAGCTGGGCCCTGAATTAATTGATTATTAATTGATTATTGATTTCACGAGGAGGGAAGGACGTTTTAGATGGAAGAACCACATGTGCAGGGAGCATGCACATTTGTTTAGTCGCGTGTGGGAGATGAAGGGGGAAGGGAGGCAAGGGCCGGCCTATAAAGATCCTTATCAGTCAGCCTGGATGTGATCCTTCAGACAGAACCTTCAGAGTATGCTGAGCAAGGAGAGTTTATTTTAGGGAAATAGCTGGTGGCAGTTAGGATGATGGGTTTAGGGAGAGGCAAGACTGGAGGTGGGAAGACAGGATCGAAAGGTAGTAGTCCAGAAGAGAGCAGATGGGACCTGGGATTTGTCAGTAGCCACGGGAATGGAGGGCGGAGGAGGAGATGTAAATGTCAGGGTCCAAAGATCTTGGTGCCATTTAGGGGAGAAGTGACAAGAGCGGCATTACTGATGATAATAGGACATGTGATGTGCCAGACCCCGTGCTGAGCACTTCTGCAAGTGTTGTCTTGATGAGTTTCCGCAGTTCAGTAAGTACTGTCATCATTCCCATTTTATAGATAAGGAGACTGAAATTCAGGGGAGTGAAGGAATTTGCTCAAACTTGCACAGCTAGAGGTAGTGTCGCTGAGAGTCAGACACAAGCAGTCTGGTTCCAGATTCACCCTGGTCACACTGAGGCTGTACTGAAAGGTAGTGGGTGGAGGGCAGTGACCAAGGTCATGAGCTGGGTTCTGAGCACCTTATCTTTAAAGTCTCTGGGGGGCATCAGGTGGAACTTTCCAGGACCAAGCTGTGGAAGGACCTAGAATCACATGAGGAGTGAGAAGAGAATATGTGGGGACGGCCACCACTTAGGGGTTAGGTGGCAGGGGAAAAGCCAGAGAAAGATTGAAACAGAGCAGTCAGAAAAGAGAGAAACCAGAAAAGTTGACGGGAGAGTTTTAAGAACATGGGTGGTGGGCTTGACCTAGGATAGTTCTCATCCTTTGAGACAAGGAAGGAAGAAGGGACTAGAACAAAGATCAGGAGGTGGAATAGAGAATGCATAGGTAAGTTGGTACTTTGAAGCCCCAGAGGTGATCTGCTTAGGACCGCTGGGTGGGGATTAGAAGGGGGGCTGCAGAGAAGAGTGGAGGGAAAGCTCTCAGACAGCTGCTGTGGGGAAAGCAGAAGGAAGCCGAAGAGGAACTGAAGGATTGCCTGGTAGCAGTCTGGGGCGTTCTCCACTCCTGCCCGCCTCGAAGCACATTGTACCCATCTGTTGCTGTGTGAAAACCACCCCACACTTAGTGGCATATTGTGCTCGTGAATTTGATGGGCCAGGAGTTCAGACAGTATGGCGGGGCTCTGTGCTCCATGATGCCTGGGCCGCTGCTGGGAAGACTTGGACCACTGGGAACTGGACTCAGCAGGGACTGTTGACCTGAGCACTTGCACATGGCCTCTCCATGTGCCTTGGGCTTCCCAGCACGGCTTCCAGGAGGGAGCTCCCCGAGAGAGAGTAGCCAAGAGCAAACATTGAGGGGTGTTGCCTTATTTTAAGAGTGAGTTTGAATGCTAGTTTACCTTTGCAGCCTATATGAATAGGTTCTAGAGAAGTCTATTCACAAGCTCTGGATTCTATTGGTGATTTACATACTTCATAGGTTCTGAGAGCAAAGAGAGGCTCAGAGGACACACTCGGCATAGGGTCTTCTCGCAGGCCTGCTTGGCTGTTGATGTTGAGTCTGCTTGAATCTTCCCAAGATTCCATCCCGTAAGACAGTCCTTTCCACCACAGCTGTTGTCGGTAGAACATTCTCCCATGGGCTGCAATGGAATATTTCTTCCTGTAACTTCTCCCCTTTGAATCCAGAAGGTAGAACTCATCTGCCTTTCACATGGCAAAAGGACAGATGGCTGACGATGTCATCCAGAACCACCACCCTCCACCCCACCACTCAACTTCTTTTGTCCAGGTCAAAATTTAGATGTGCCCTAAGCCCTCTGCTGAGGGAATGGTGCCAGCTTGCTCGCTCCCACCAGGTTCATTGTTGTTGACAAGGAAAGCCTGTTCTGCAGGGCTCCACAGATAGGAAGCCTTCTGCCACCTTGGAGCTTTTAGTCATGTCCTCAGCCCGGTGGACCTGCTGTCAAGGGGCTAATTGGTCAGCTAATTAATCAGCCCATTGGTGTTGGCACGTATGTTTATTAATCATTAAGAGGTTATTTAATTTTGCTGGTAGCCTGAGCCACTTTGTAGGACGCCAGCTATTACCCTCTCGCGTGGAGTCCTCTGTGTGGTGGTGTGGCCGACACAGGTGGCCCGCTGGACCCCGGGCTTGAGCTGGCCCCATCAGAGGCTCCAGAGAGGAGGGGGGCGTTGATGAGCTTGTCTGAGAGGGAAAGGTAGGGGGAAGAGCACAGCCTGTTCTGTTTAGTCTTTTAATCCTGTGGTCATGCATGGTTTTTTTTTAATGGCTTAGAAAATTTTTCATAGTTTTTTTAAACTTTCAGGACGTTGGGCGAGATCCCAGTTCTTTTTCATGACACTGAACTAATAGGCCTAAGGCTCATTGGAGTTACAGGAGCCGTGTTTTGTGTTGCTTCTTCTGTCCTTAGACCCCTGACCTGGAGCAGCTGGAGCCATCTCTAGAAGATGTGGAAAGCATCAATGATTTCGAACCCTTGTTTTCAGAGGAGACGCCCGAAGTGGAGAAGCCAGTCACCACTGTCCAGGTTGGACTCCTGTAGCCCAGGCCCTGCTTATGCTTTAAGGCTGTTGACGTAAATGACTAGTTTGGTCTAGTCTGCTCCTTTAGGAATATTAGAAAAAAACAAATCCCAGTTGTATTTTCTAGGAAGGGGGGTACCAGTATTTGAAAGATCCGAAGTCAGGGTTTTTTCCCAGTGATTGATTGGGGTTCCAGCACCAACACCTGTGGATCTGTGAGAAACACTCTTCTTGCTGGAAACGTTTGGGCAAGTAATTGTGGACTTGAGACCTGAAGACCAGCTTTAGTGGTTTCCTTTAAATTTAAGCCAGTGTCATTATGCTTAATGCTCATTTGGGTCTACGTTTCTGTCATTACAATGGCAACCAGGTAGACCAGCCTGGGTCTGAGACACGCCTGGGAGAAAGCTTTCTTGGCCGTGGGGACAGGGCTGCTGAGCAAGGCATTGGGTGGGAGACTGGTCTTCCACTACTGGCCTTTCGGTTGCTGCTCTTCACGAAGTCCTGTTCCCTGCAACACAGGGACCATTTCATGATGCAAATTTGTAGTTACTTATGGTTCAGAGGTTGGAAAAAAGGTAGAAAATGGAAGTATCAAATCAGGAGTGTTGGGGAGAGGTTACTCTGGCATGTACGAAGGACAGAAGCTATATTGGAATAAGAAATGCGGTTTGAGGGAACTGGGATGTTTGTCATTATGGCCTAAAAATATCTTCTAAACCTTGGGTTTTTAAAGCCCGTGTTTAACTTGGCAGCGTATCATCAGCTGTTTGTTGGGACAGAAAGAATTCGAGCTCCGGAAATTATCTTCCAGCCGTCGCTCATAGGAGAAGAGCAGGCTGGGATAGCAGAGACCCTTCAGTACATTCTGGACAGGTGAGACGGGACCTTCTTTTCCTCCTGTTTTCCTGAACCGGTTCCTCAGATTTTGCGTTGGTTGGTAGATCTGGTGGTTGGGCATTTGGAAATCTGTCCTCTCGCTCCTTTTCCTTGACTCGCTGTGCCAGATAGTCTTCTTTATCTCTCGCCAGGCCTGGCACAGAGTTGGGGCTCTGTCATTCTTTTCTGAACATGTAAATACTCAGTTGACTTGAGGAGCTCTAAGAATTTCTTTTAAGTGTGAGCAACATGATAATGTATGTGCATTGGCTTTCATATAAGCCTTCACGTTATTGAAGACTAGTGATTCTAAATCACCCTAAAAATATGCAGAACCTATCAGTTTTTTCCCCTCCTTGCAGACATTTTATTGAGTTTGCATTTTTATAAGAACGTGCCTCTCCCCTCCCGTTTATACAGGCATTTTCCTGCCGTGTGAGTTTTCACAAGACACAAAGGAAAAGGGGAAGGTTTTTTAACACTTTTTGTGTACCTGTTTTCTATTTTGTACTGAAAGCTTGCATTTCCACCTCTGCATTCTTGTCTAATATTCAAGTTGGAGGCAGTATACCAGAAGGAATCGTTTCTCTCCTAGGTACCCAAAGGACGTTCAGGAAATGCTGGTTCAGAACGTTTTCCTCACTGGCGGGAACATGATGTATCCAGGGATGAAGGTTAGAATCGAAAAGGAGCTGTTGGAGATGAGACCCTTTCAGTCTTCTTTTCAGGTACTGATAATTCATGTAACCAGCTGTTTTGAAAATAGCGTTGATTATTTGTTTTCTGATTGCAAAAGTAATTCAGTGTGAGAAAAATTACTTTATTGCTCCATTCTCCAGAGATACCCACTGTTAACATTTTAATGGCTTTCCTTCTGGTCTTTAATCTATATTGAATTTTTCAAGCAGAATGGGAATCATATCTCATATATTTCTGTTTTCTTTTTTTAATTGAAAAAGGAAGACATGCATATAATAAAATTCAGAGACTACAAAAAGGTGTACAATGAGAAGTCATTCTTTTCACACAGTCCTTACTCTACAGGGAAAGCTTTTCTTTCAGATTTTCTACACATAAGCTTGTAGATTGCCTTGTAACCTGAATTTCCTTAACCTGTCATGAACATTTCCCATGTCGTCCTTCTTCTAACATATTATGTTTTTATAACTGTATGGTGTGGATGCCCCATTATTTATCCACTGAATCCCTGCTCACCAGGAAACACGGTCTGAGCTCCCATAGTGGACCAGGCACTTTGGGGATACTGAGATGTCCTAGACGTAGCCCCTGACTGCAAGGAACTTGCTGTCTGTGGGGTCAGCAGTCAAGTAAATAGGCCGTGGTAATCTGGAGCATGATGGGCCTGCAGGCATGGGCACCTCACCTGTCAGTCTTGGAGGTCAGGAAAGGCTCCATGGAACTGCATCTCGTAAGGATGAGGAGGTGTTTGTTGTCTAGGCAGTGTGGAGTGGGGTGGGATGGAAAGAGCATTCCACACAGGGCCTAGCATGAGCAAAGGCTCAAGAGCCGAAAGCTTGTTGGCGGGGAATGAGCAGTAGGTGAGTGTGGCTGGAGCTTATGGTTGTTGAAGAGGAGTGGAGGGGTGCCGTGGAGAGGTCAGCAGGGCCCGCATGATGCAGAGCCTGTGTGTCCTGCTGAGAGGCTTCACCTGGATCCCCGATGCTGCGTGATGTATCCTACATTCAGGGTGTGGTCTCTGAGCTGTGGTCCTGACTCCGTCACCGCCATTACTGAATTTTGCCTCAGTTTTCTCAGTGGTATGAAGGGCATAATCATGGCGCCTGTTACCAGGATTCAGTGTGCTAGTGCACAGCAAGTGCTCAGCACAGGGCTGCACAGAATAAGCACTCACACGTTAGCTGTTGTGTTGGGGGTCCCTAGGACCAGCCCAGGTTCCATGGTTCACTAGGACTCAGCATGTAATCATACTCATGACTCTGATTTGAAAGGAGACAAAGCAAAATCAGTAAAGAAAAAAGGTGCGTGAGGCGAAGTCTGGGGGCAGCCAGGTGGGAGCTTCCAGAGTGCTCTCCCAGCAGAGTTGCACAGGACGTGCTTGATGCTCAGCAGCGAGTTGTCACAGCACATGTGACATGTTGCCAACCAGGGAAGCTTGTTGGAGATTCAGTGCCCAGGGTTTTTATTGGGGCTGATCATGTGGGCTCCCCGACCTGGCACATACCTACATTCCAGGCTCACAGAAGGAAGCAGGTGTTCAGGATAAACCACATTGTTTGCTCAAACAAGCGCAGGGAACCACTTCTGTCAGTTAATGGGGGCAACCCTCCTGAGATCTCAGTTCCCAGATGCCAGCTGAGGACCAGCCTCGTAAGCAGGCCTTCCTAAGGAGTAGCATCAGGCCTGCTAGAATAACGCTTTCTGCCCAGCGGTTGTTATCCTTAGGCTGTGCAGGACCAGGACGGAGTCTAAGCTGGGGAATCATGTGATCCAGTTTGCACTTTAGGAAGATATTTTTGACGCTGGTGTGGAAAATGGAGTATAGGAGAAATACTGGAAGCAAGAGAGCAGTTGGGGGCAGCTCCCCGGCCTTTAGGATGAAGTCCTCACTCCTCAGCACTCACCACGGTGTACTAGAAAGGTCTCTTGAGCTCTGACCTTGGGTAACTCTCCCTTATTCCTCATTATCTCATCACTGCCCCCTCCTCCCTGTACTTCAGCCAGTGTACTCTTCCTTTCCCAAATATGCCATGTTTTCTTGCCTCGGGGCTTGCTCTTTGCATGGACTACTCTTCCCAGCTCCCTCAGGGCTGGCTGAGTCGTCACGTCCCCCAGAAGCCTTCCGTATCCTTAGCAACATTCCTTACTAGACCTGCCTCCATTAGGGAAGGGCCTGCCTGTCTTGTGAGTTGTTGTGTTCCAAGCCCTTGGCACAGTGTTGCTTGGCAGCTACACGAGAAACCTGAAGGCAGTGGCAGAGAGAGAGGAAAGAGGGCATCGGTGTGAGAGAGTAAGGGAGTAAAATGGTCAGAACTGGGTCATAGATTGGATTGGAGCAGAGCAGTGGGCCCTAAGACAACTCCCCAGGCCTAGGTTGGGCATCTGGTTGGATAAATATGACATTCACTGGAAATAGGAGAGGAAGAGTAGGCTTGAGGGGGAGGATAAGGAGTCCTGTGGCTGAGTGGTTTCTGGTGGGAGACCCAGGAAGAGCTGAGTCATGGCTAGCTGATGAGCGAGTGGGAGAAGGCGGAAGGGTCCACTGGGGTCCCCCAGCAGAAATGTGCCCGTGGGTGCGGTTTGGAAGAGTAAGCGGAGGCCACGCCTAAGCCTAAATAACCCCAGCGATTAAAGGCAGTTGGAGGATGGGGGCGCCCGTGAAGGAGGTTAAGAAAGAGGCCGTGGGAGGGGTGGGAGGAGCACAGGAGGGATCAGCAGCCCCGGAGCCTCAGGATGAGCATGGGTGCACGCTTGTGGTGTTGACTTGTGACGACAGCATTGAGAACAGAGCTATAGGACTTTCTAGATCTATTTGTTGATAATCCCAAGCCTTTCCCATGAATTACTTTGTGAGCATTGGTTGTAGAAATGCTGCTGCTGGGTCTCTCTTCCCGGCTCTGTCTTAGCTGTTTCCGGCTCATGTGGCAGAGCCCCAGCTTCCGTCTCTTCCACCTTTCCTGCTCCTTGTCACATTGCTGATGTATTGAGTGTGTGTCATGCTATAATTAGCCCCTGATGTTCGAATTTTAGATGATGTATACAGCAGTGGCTCAAACATGAACCATCTGAGGCCCTAAGATGTGCACAACTTTTACACACTTTCTTCAAAAAATTGTTTCTGTTGTTTTTTCTTATTTAAACAACAAAACATTTAAACACATTACTAAAATATCAATTTAAACAAACCAAAATGAAGATGGAAAAAAAATGATTGTAGTTCAGCCACTGTGAGCAACATTGTATATATACTTTCAGGTCATTTTTTTCTCACGTGTATGATTTTAACCAAAAAGAGAGATTGTTTATAGCTTATTTTGTAACCTGTATTTTTTTTTACTTTTCAAATTATTGCGGTAGTTTTTCTATATCAGTAGGTACATTTCCAAAGCATCCTTTTTATGGTTGTATAGTATTCCATTGTTATATTCCACATATCTTACTGCAGTTTTTACTGGTAATAATGATAGCCGCCATTTACTGAACACTTACCCTGGGCCAGGAGTATATCAAGTGCCTTCCACCCATTCTCTCACTGACTCTTTCTAAGCCAGAGCACCAGGGTTTCCTGCTATCCCAGTTTTGTTGATGATCCCTTCTCACAAGTCCCTTGCCTGTATCAGCCCAGGCGGTCAGTCTCTTGAACTCGTGGGTTTATCTGCTTCATCCTACTCCCTCTGTGCATGCTGATTCTGCTTTGTGTCGCCTGCTCTTTACTTCAGACAGTTCTGAAACCACCATTCCAAGCTGTAACTCCTCTGGGGGTAGAGGGAGGTGAGAGGGAGCGGGGAAGTCAGGCAGCCTGATTTGAAAACAGAAAACAGGGAGCCTGATTTGAACTACAGAGAGTCCTCCCCGAATGCTCGTGAAGCTTGGCTGAGGGGCACGCACAGCGCTGCTGGCCTCAGCCTCGCTCCGGTAGTGAGCAGTGGAAATGGAGCCTGGGGAGCCTCATGGAGAACGCCCCAGGTAGTCCTCTCAGCTCTCATTCCTCCTGAGGCTCGTTTGCCACCATGGCCAGAGCTGCCTCGCATCAGCATCTGCCTCCCTCTGCTCGCAGAGAGGGGCTCGGGGCCAGGAAGGCCTTTCCCCCAGATCGAGTGCCAGCTCTGCTTCCCCTCTCATCAGACAGCTTGGGGATGACAGCATTGGAGCAGGAGGCGGGGCACCTGGTCCCTCTCTGACCCAGAGTCCAGGTCTTGTGTTCATAAAAAAGCTGACAGGCTGGCCTTGTGGCCGAGTGGTTAAAGTTCCGTGCACTCTGCTTCGGCGGCCCTGCGTTCACGACTTCAGATCCTGGGTGCAAACCTACTCCATTCATCAGCCATGCTGTGGAGGCATCCCACGTAAAAAGTAAAAGACGATTGGCACAGATGTTAGCTCAGGGCTAATCTTCCTCAAGCAAAAAAAGAAGAGGATTGGCAATGGATGTTAGCTCAGGGAGAACTTCCTCACAGAAAACAGAAAACAGCTGACAGCGTTTATTCTCTGGGGTCCAGTCTGGTGTGCTTTGCATTCTCGGGCTCTTTTGGAGAATCGGGGGGTGTTTCAGCTCAGCTTTGTGTGGGGGTGCAGAGATAGTCCTGCACTGTCTTGGAATTAGTCGGGGCCCTCTTCTGTGTGTTTCTGGGGATAAAATGGGGGTGTGGGCTGGTGCTGTAGCTGGGCCTGCTGACCGTTCCCTCCTCGAGCCTGGTGGGGGGAGTCCTTCTGGTGAACGTTCTCTTTGTGTTTCAGGTTCAGCTTGCCTCTAACCCTGTGCTGGACGCCTGGTACGGTGCTCGTGACTGGGCCTTGGACCACCTCGAGGACAGTGAAGTCTGGATCACCAGGAAAGAGTATGAAGAAAAAGGAGGAGAGTACTTCAAGGAGCACTGCGCTTCCAACATCTACGTCCCCATCCGCCTGCCCAAGCAGGCTTCTCGCTCCTCAGAAGCCCCGGCATCTGGCAAAGGCTCGGGGGCCAGTGGAGGCGGTGCTGGCGAGTAGGCGTAACGGAGGGGTCCCCTCCAGGGCCCTTGGGCCCCATCGGCCAGTGTGGCAGGACAGTGACTGTGCTAGCTGTGTCCGCCCTGAGTCTGCCGGTGACATTGGGCTGCAAGATGGATTTCTCCTGGGGAGAACAGTTAGGGACACTGGGAGTTACCCTTTAGAACTGTGTTCATTTGGGGGCTTCTGCAGTGAAGAAACTTTAAGTGGCCTTCTGGCATCTTTGTTGAACCATGGGAAAGCTGTGGCATCCACTTTCTTCACCAGTAAATGAAGACAGAGTGGAGGACAGAGGTGTACAAAAGGCACAAGGCTTGTTCCTTACTGAATTTTGACTCCATTCTTTAAAAGAAAAAATCCTTTAAGATTTATATTATCAGTGTAGATATTCTTCTCACTTTATTCAGAAATTATGTGAATGCCCAGCAGGTGGAGGTCTTTCACATAAATACATGAAAAAGGTACTGTTTATGTAACAAAAGCAATCACCCACGAAATCTCAGGAGCTGGAAATACTCCCCTCCTCCTATTATTTCCTCTTACACATAAGGAAAAAGGGCCCAAAGAGGGTAACCAGATCGTGCACAGTCACTGTTAGGGGCCTGCTTGGTGCCCACTTCTGAAAGGGCAGAAATGAGGCCTTGGCTCAACTTTTGTTCATACTTTCTTTGCTGGAAACGTTTTCCACCATACGAGGGCTTCCTGCATATTTTTTATTTCTATCCCTGTGAGTTTGTTGGCTGCTTCACTTCTTCAGGCCTTCTGAAGAAGACACGGGTTGGAGAAGGTGACTCCTGTAGCCTTTCCAGTTTTGCCATAACCTCATATTCGCTGTACCTTTGCAGCTTCCTCTGAAATGGACAGATAACCCCTCTCTGTGACAGAGATTGCTTTGGTGAGAATTTTAACTCTCAAACACACCCAGTAATTGAGCCCAGAACTCCCCTGAGCTCCTAGTGTCCTTGTCACAGGATCCAGACATTTAAATTCTGTGGAGCCTCTAGCCCATGCCTCTGATGAGGCCCCCTCAGAGCCTGTCTGCTCATCCAGTTTACCAGGGGTGCTCACCTGGATCTCCAGCTCTCAAGGGCTTTGACACCGAAGAGCAGGAGGGGGCAGTGGTGGTGGTGGAGAAGGCAGAAGACCCAAGCCAACGCAAGATCTCCCAAGGCCTTGCCAGTGAGCCATTGGCCGTCCGTGGCTGGGCCCAAGGCCTGATGAGATGCTGATAAAAGATGATGTGAAGAAGAAGGCAGGACCAACCTCCATGTGAAAGATGTTTTCATTTCACATTTCCAGTGGGAGGAACCCTGCTAACTGCTGTTAGGGCTGGGGGCCTTTCTGCCACAGTCAGCCATTACACAGCCTGAACAGCAGGGCTGAGGTCAGAAGACTGCTGTAGAGGTCCCGCCCTGATGGGGAAGGACCCTGGGTTGGGCAAGTAAGCCCGGACACATCACAGTCAAACAAGCGTTAAGCTGGACCTAGTCAGGGTTCCTGTAGACCAGAACTGAGGGGGACGTTTGGGCTGTGGTGAGGGACAGGCCGAGGGGCTGATCCTTGAGCGCTCTGGCTTCATCTAACCCCTCACATTCAGTATGCTGTGACCTCTCGTGACCACCTTAGCATGCACAGTTCTCCTCAGGGAGATTTCTGGGATTTCTGGGACTCCAGCCTCCCCCATCCTTCTCCAGCATGCTAGGCAGGAATTTGCTACCCTTGGGTTCCCTGGGGCCCTCGCGCAGCCACTAACAGAGTGCTCACCACAGTGCCTTGGGCTTTATCTCTGCCCCAGGATGATCACTTCTAAACTGGAAAGCTTTCCCCAAGGGCAGGACGGGTGTTTCATTCAGCGTGGAGTATCCACAGCACAGTGCTGGACTCCGGATTTTTAATGAATGACCAATTGGTTGGGTAGGTAAATGAATGACTGAATCTGTGAACAAAGGAAATTTGGGAATAGTTTGTCTACTCTGTTGAGAGGAACAAATGAGAAGTCCACACTGAGGACTTCCTCTCCACCAGAGCACCCTACTCATGGAGACGTCTTACTGTCCCCACTCTTACCCTGCCACGATCGTTCCTGGAGAGAAGGTGGATGTGCCTAGCTGAGTGTTCTGGAGGCAGCTGTGAAGGGTGGCCTCCCGTCGCCCAGCTTAGGGCTCTTGTCTGGGGTTGCAGCAGGAGGAGACAGCCCAGGGGAGGGTGAGTGTCCTGTGGGTCTTCAGGACCCCCCAGGAATGGGTTTGACTCAGGATAGCTCTGAAGGTGGGGTGGCCACCTGGAGTGAGCGGGGCCCCTCTCTGTGACTAAGACCTGGTGGAGGTGTCCTACTGCCCAGTGGGGCTGCCTCTGCCTCCTGCTGGCACTGCTGGAAAGAAACTCTTTTGCCAAAGGAACAAACAAAGGAGGCAAAAAAAGGTAATAAAGAAGTTAAGAGTGAAATAAGTGGTAAAATATGGGAAGAGAAGGCTAAAGCAAGAAATGGAGAAACCAAATTCCTACAAATACAATGTGCACAGATTATGCCCACCCAAGGGACTGAGTAAGATGAAGTCTGTTACTGCAGAGCTTTGTGACTAAGTCATTACAGGAAATTAGAAAATGGTGGAGGATTGCAGGGTGTTGGCAGAGGCTGGCAGTTTACTAAGCACACTCCTCCTGGGCACACGGCTGCACTGCCTTCCCAGCCTCCTCTGCAGTTAGCCATGCGGCCATTTGAGTTCTGCCAGTGGAATATGGGCAGGAGAGGTGAGCACCATTTCCAGGGCTGGCCTCTGTAAACCTGCCGTAAAAGCTCCTCTTTCCTCTTTCCCTGACCACTGGCTGAATGGAGAGCAGTCTGAGGCCCAAGAGGAGCTCAGAGCCACAAGACGGAAGGAGCAGAGGCCCTGCAAATTCTTCCCCATGAGGAATAGGTTCTTACTGTTGAGCTGGTGAGATCTTTGGCCTTACCTGTTACAGCAGCTAGCATTGTTCTAAACTAGACTCTTCTAACCTAAACCGTAGGTTACAAACAGGAACTTCGTTAGCTTTGTGTGAATTGGGGATTTGTTGGGGAGGAAAAGTTAAAAATAATATGAAATAAGGAGAACCCTGTCACAGATAGTTATCCTGTCGTTTAGGAAATGGGAACTATAATTCCTTTTATCCTGTAGGAGGGATTAACTGAGAAAATGAATGAAATGACCTATGGATTTCAGGAAACATGGCAGACTAAGCTGACCCAGGACACGCCCCCCCACGTGCTACAAAGTTCTGCAAAAAGTTGAGATAAAGTATAAATTAAAAAGTTGTAATGCTGACCTTGAAAGAGAAAATCATGGATATCATAGAAATCAGAAGTGAATACAAAAATCAAAGTTTGGTAACCACAAGTGGGCACTGAGGCAAGCCTTAGATTTCAGACAGAAATAAGCCTAATGGGCAGAGAGGGACCGGAGATGTCGCCCTGGGCCCTCATAAAACGCAGAAACGGGAATAAACTCCCTGAATAAATAATAGTAACGTGGCAACGGTAACCTCGGAAAGACTAGAAATAGTGTGTATAATCCAAATATGAAAGGAGAGAAAGCCAAATCCAGGAGTAGAAGGAAAGTTAGGGGAGGGAGGGAGGAAAGAGTCTAGTTAATGAAAAGTAGGAAATAAAGTGGTGTAAATGAGTTCAAGTATGTTAATAGTCATAATTAAGGTACGTAGGTTAAAACTGGCCTGTCAAAAGAACAACAAGGAAAAGAGATTGGATTTAAAAGAATATATAGCTGTATACTATTTGCAAAAGATGCATTGAAAACGTGATACAAAGGCAGAAGGCAAAAGGATAGAAGATAAACCAGGCAGACATAGCAAATGCCTTAGCTGCTGTAGCAGGAGTAACGTCAGGCAGGTAGTCTGTAAAGCGAAAAGTATTGTTAGAGGAAAAGAGAATCTTCACTTGTAATCAACAATTGACAAGAGGATATAACAAGCCTGAACCTTACCTGTATGCCCCAGATAAAATAGCCTCAAATGTATAAAGCACAAATTGATGGAATCATAAAGTGACATTGACAAATGAAAAGTGCTGTCGGAGGCAGCTGAGTATTTAGGATCCCAGACGATGATGAGACCCAGGAAGAGGGTGGGCCTGGTACTTCCAGGCTCAGGGAAGAGTCCAATCCTTGGGCAGAGCAAAGGGGAGCTTTAGGCTGGTCAGCCATCTCTGGGCTCCTTGCCTCTCCCTCGGCCCTCCCAAGGACTGGGCTCCCCGAAATCTTGATGGGGATGGGGCTTGATGCTCCCCATTCTACCCTGAGAATGGCTGTGCTCAGGCGGAAGGGAGGACCCTGAGCTGGAAGCCACAGCCTTTCTTCCTCTAGCAACAGGTTTACTTCCTCTTTTCCTTCTCTCCTGTAGCCTCTGCTGGCTCCTTGGGCCTCGGAACCGCATGGGTCACTCCTGCAGTAGAAGCAGGCATCTGCACAGGCTGTTGGATGAAACCCAGAAGGAAAAGTAGAGGCACGTAACTCCCTCACGTGCCTTCTGGTAACCTTGGGATTTCTGGGACTCCAGCCTCCCCCATCCCACTTCATTCTTTCCTTTGCTTCCCCTCAGTCACCCTCCTGGCAACCCTTGGCAGCTGGGGCAGCCCCAGGATTTCCTCTTGCCCAGCAATCTCCGGGGCATAGGTACCCACCCCAACAGCTCTGCCCTCTGGCCTTACATTGCTCCTCTGCTTGGTGGCCAGAAGCCTCATCTTGGGGAGCAGCCAAGATCAGAGAGGCTAGTGTGGGCATCACAACTCGACTAAGATGGCTGAGCCCTGGAAATCCCACAGACACTCTGACCTACACACTGGTGTGTTCCCTTTCTTCCATAACGTCCTCTCCTTTACTCTCCACTTCACCTTAGGTTTTTGAGCACCCACCATGTCCCAGGCACTCTTCTCTCTGCCCCTCGCCCTTCAGTGTGCTTCTTCCTTTCCCAGGCCCAGGCAGCCCCATGGAATCCAGTTGTCGTAGTGGCTCAGGAGACGTTTCCCATAGCACACGTTTCCACTGACCAAAGTCACCATGAGGTCAAGATGAGTCTATGCTATAGGGAAAATCAGGGTGGTGTAGTGGGTTCAAGTCTGTCCCCCCAAAATATGTCCAGGTCCTAATCCCATACCTGTGAATGTGACCTTATTTGGAAATAGGCTCTTTACCAATGTAATTAAGTTAAGGATCTCGAGATGAGATCACTCTGGATTTAGGGTGGGCCCTAAATTCAATGACTTGTGTCTTTATAAGAGAAAGGAGAGGGAGATTTGACACCCATGGAAGAAGGCCATGTGAAGACAGAGGCAGAGACTGGAGTGATGCTGTCACAAGCCAAGGAATGCCAGGAGCCCCCAGAAGCTGGAAGAGGCAAGGAAGGATCCTCTTTTAGAGGCCATATTCCCTGATGACACCTTGTTTGGTATCCACAACTATGAGAGAATAAATTTCTGCTGTAGGCACCAAGTTTGTGGTGATTTGTTGGAGCCACCCTAGGAAAGTGACCCTGATGGCCAGGTCGAGTCTGGGAATGAATCCGAGTATGGGTGGGAAGTTGTTAAGCCATAAAGAAGCAAATAACTTGCCCATATGATGGAAGAGTCCTAGCAATGGAACGTAGGTAACAACAATGGTTTACCCCCAGGTAAGCTGGCGCTGGCAGTGAAGGAGGAGGGGGGAGGGGCTTGGAACGTGCACGGGACCAGAGCGGACGCTCTTGCAGAGGCACCGCGTGTAGGGGTGAGGGAGGCACCTAGGACGCCAGAGGTGGCGTAAAAGGAAGCACGGGAAGGGCTGGGATAGGACACAACTACAGCAACAGAGGATCGGAGGAAGCCTGGCAGCCCAAAGGTGCCCAGTGCTGAAGCATCTGTCTTTCACTAGAGCACCAGGAGGGGGCGCCCTGGAGACACGTGGAAAACCACCCAGACCCTCTCGCTGGCCCTCTCCTTATCCGCGTCCTGCTAATAGTTGTCGGTAAATTTAGCATGCTCAACTATGAACATTAACAAAATAAGACTGCAGCGTCCTTATAGGGGTACCACAAAAAAAGACCAAAACCTTCAAATTCAAACTTTTTACCAGATAAAACATACCAAAAAATAAAAAAGCTAGTACAGGTGGAAGAAAACTGTAATGCAACGTTCCAACATGAGTTAGACAAGCGCGTGCAGATGTAAGGGGGCCACAAAACATGAGAAAGTTTGAGTAGAGATGACCAAACAACAGAGAGAGGTGAAATGGGAA